AGTTTCCTGCTTGTATAAACTATAGCTCATGTAACATTTGTGTGCCGTACCCTCTTATCTTTGTATCTGTATGAACCTACCAGTTGGATAAAATGGCCAACAGAACTCCTGGGTGTCAAGGTAGCTTGCTTCTTAGAGCAGCTCCACTTTCCCTTGGAGCTCAGCCTTTAATGAAAAGTGGAGTTGGGAGGATTTTTTGTTTCTTAGAAACCAAATTGTCTCTGTCCATGCACATTGTTGAAAGAAAGAAGGAAACTGTCTTTTAAGTGATACAGGTACAATCAGTTCCCCCAAACCATGCTCCTTATGAGTAGCCGTTGGCCGTGCTTTACCAGTGAATTAATTGACTCATGTTCCTGCATGCTGAGTCGTGTTGTGGACATATGCTGTGCTCTGAAACCTCCTGGGAGTTAATGTTTGCTTCTGCTAAGAGACAAATAGTTGTTTTCCTTCAACTGTTGGAACTCAGCATTTTCTCAAAGGAGACATATTAACAAATGGCTGTTTCTGAGCCAGTTCAAGAGTCTTGATCCAGAAACAACCTACCCGTCAGTCTTTCTCTGGGATTCTCCCGCTCTGTGTCTGAAAGGTGCTGGGTTCTCTCCTTGGCTGTCTTGAACTTATTGCTCTTGCCAGCACACAATCTAATTTTATTTCCTTCACTCTTCCATCGGCAGTGTTTTATTTGTTCACTGACTTTTCTTGGCACATATCACGTTTGATGACCTCAAGCAGTTTTTTGGGTCCCCATCACTTGAGGCCCATTTATGTGTCCTACTCTGAGATTGGAAGGTGAAAAGTTCTGAAACAGATTTTCAGTAAGTGGTCATTACTAGTACTGAGCACTTGCTCTGTGTGTTCTCAGTCTTCCCATCAACCATGGAAGGGTAGTATACTATTCTCCATTTTCTCCATTTTCAATATGAGAAAACTGATAAAAATGGAGGTACAGACAAATCAGAGGGACTTCCCCATGGACACATAACTAGTGAGTGAGCAGTTGAAGCCAGCTAGGTCAGGCAGTCCTCACACCAGGTTTCCAGGGGGTCTGCCAAGCTAATGGGGAGGTGGAATTAGCAGTCCTCCTGCCTAGCTGGGAGGAGTTGCTGATTGAACCAACAGTTGGGGATAGACCTTCAGCACCCATTCTTTATGACTTCAGAAACCAGAACTGCTTAGCCGTACCTTAAACCACGTAAGCGTGTGTGTGAGTGCCCTGGTGCTGCTGTAACAAATTATTACAAACACAGTAGCTCAGACAACTCGAAGAGATTGTATACTTCTGTAGGTTATGAGTTCAGCATGGTCTCATGGGCTAAAATCAAGGTGTCAGCAGAGCCGCATTCCTTTCTGAGGCTCAGGGGAGACTCCTTTCCTTGACCTTTGCCAGCCCACACTCCTTGGCACAGAGCCCTTCCAGCTCCATAGCCAACAGTGGTGGGTGGAGTCTTCTTGCCTCTTATTGCTCTGTCATGGACTCTTCTGCCTCTTCCTTCTGCCTGTAAGGACTCCTTGATGATACCAGACCTACCTGCTTAGTCCAGGATGATCTTGCTATTTTAAGGCCAGCTGATCAGTTAGTTCCCCTTCATCATGTATGTTAACTCACAGGTTCAAGTATTAGAACATAGATATCTTGGGGCAGGCTTTATTCTGTCTGCCACCACATGCCACTTTTACAACTCAACAGGACATAGCCACCACTCCGAACCCTCTTGTCCTGGGTGTAGGTTACTTCCGGGAGGTGTGTGATCCTTCTATTCCTTTCAGCCACAAGCTGGAACACAGCTTCCTGGCAGGTCTGACCAGTCTGACATGATCTGAGGTGAATTTTATCCTATGCCCCAGGAACAGGTTTCAGTTCTATCTCTTGATGGAAGGAAGCTTTCAGGGCTCCCTTTACCAGGAAAAGGTGCTCTCCTGGGCTTATTGCAGACCTACCCTCTTCCCTCAGGAAACCGTCTGCAGGTTCTTCCATTGACCTACTTCATATGCTTGCTTCTCCTGTACCTGTGTCTGTCCCTAATGGATGTGAGTGAATACTGCATGCCCTGTGCTGGGTCTATCACTTCAGTGATCCTCAAGGCAATAGTAGTTAGTAGGGCTTTGCAACAATTACTGTTTATCCCCAAACTCACACAGTAGACATGCAAAATGGAGATTTTGTATCAGTCTTTGGGATGTAGCTGCTGGAGGTTTTCTTGGCCCTGTTTTCATATTGAAACTAAGGTGTAGGTGTGGATATTGCTAATTGTTTGCATTATGAAGAAAGAACTCAGGGGCATTAAGTTAATTGCTTTAGATCATACAAAAATTCAATACCAAGATTCACAACCAGGCACACAACTTACATTTCCTTTATTTTCTCCATATCACTGAGAAAACTCAGCATGGAGGTGGAGGTTATAGACGAGCTATTGTGGCTAGAAATTGGGAACACACAGGAAGGGCCCCTGTCAGTACAGGCTCAGTTGGGTGATGGTCTGTGCTCTGTGGGGTGAGGCTGTCAGGTTTATTCCTGGTTTCAAGCTGAGTTGTACAAGCTCTCACTTCTCTGATACAAACCCTTAGAGGGAGGAAGGAGCTCTTAAAATGACACACTTTTTCATTCTAGAATTTCCCTTGGGTGGTCTGCTTTGCTTACCTCCCTTGTGATTGTAAACCCCATTGCTCTTCATCTGAGTTCATTCAGCATTAAGCATACCTCCTCATTTTATACTGTTTATAGTGATGTAAGTTTAGATCATTAAACATTTGGTTGAATGTGTCGACCTGTAGGTTAGTCGTGCAGGACAGCACAAATAGGTGGGCAGGCTGTGTGAAGAGGTGTTTCTCACCTGCACCTTACTTTCCAGAATCGTGACAGAATAGACCTGAAGCCATTAGAAATACTAGTATTAAAGTCCTTGTTTCTTTCTTGAGGCTGCACCTTTCACATGTCCCTACCAGGCTGGGTGTTTGGAGTGAGAGCTTCATAGCTTCCTCAGCCAGAGCTTCTCCCTGGGCAGGCTCTGAGTTCTGTTTCTAGCCCAGACTTCCCTTCTGAGCTGCTGTGGAATTTCTGGACATCTCGGTTGGCTTAATCCTCGTAACACCTTTATAGATGGTTGGGTGAACACTGCATTTTAAGATTGGAAAATGGAGAATCAAAAAAACATGGTAATTTGCCATAAGCCATATAGCTAGTAGTTAAGGAGCTTTGTTTAAAGAGAAAAATTTTTAAATGTTTCATCTGAAAGAAGGAATTAAAACTATAGTCAGTGTCACATGTATGCACCATAACATAAACCATAACTAATACATGTATGTCTTCAGGTTAAAGTTCAGAACAAAAAGGAGTGCTTAGGCAGTGATGGGGTGGAAGGAGACGAGAGAGGGCAGGGATGGACAAGATGGGGGTGTTACTGCGTGGAGGTCATTTAGGATGTAGCTACAGAAGGTTTTGTGGCCCTGTTTTCATCCTTACCCACTATTATAATAAATGAGGATGTTTTGAATAGGTGACTCACTGAAGGCTGAAACCAAGCCAGAGCTGGAATACATGGCAGCATTTTATTGGTTAGTTTTACAAAATAGAGAAAACCTCTGGGACAGTCACTTGACTATTTATACAGACTGAAACAGTCATTTGACCTGCTCTTCAACTCCATCCAGAATGGCAGTGGGGTTAACTTGGCCTTTCTCCTAAGACACACAGGACATGGGTTTGGGAGAAGCATGAACGGGTTGTCATTCCTCCAGAGCACAGACCTCATCTCTGAGCAGGGTGGCTCTGGTGTCAGCTGGTGTCACTGTTTGGTATGTGATGGAGTAGACGAAACAGGTTAGTTTTGGTAGGTAGATATGCCAGCTGTGTAAACTGACCCAGTATATTTACCTAGTATATCCCTACCCTCCCACCCCTGGAAGGAGACATTAAGTGATCTACCTTCCCTTGCTGGTTTCCCCTTGCCCTATCCCTTCCCTGCTCTCTGCTCTGTAGGAAAGATGACGACTCTCTTTCCTGTATTACTCATGAGTTGAATCTTAGAACAATATAATGGACATAGAAAGTGCTTTATTCTGAAAATTTTCCAGTGAGAAATTGCTGGGTGACACGGCACTGGGTTACTTTTAGCCTCTCTCTTGTCGATTCAAAAATGTTTTAACAAAGAGTTGACTAAGAGACTTTAGAACTAATTACAGTGGGTAGAGGAAGAAGCTAACGAGGCAGCAAAGAGGTTCCCAAATGTGGAGCAGGACAAATGGCTGCTTTCTCCAAGTGGTCAAAGGCATGACAAAATAAACTTGGGAGAGAGAGCAAGAATTTCTCTCAATTTAGAGACTGTCCAGTCAAATGCAAGGGTTAGGTCCTTGCTTGGAACCTGAAACTAACAAAGCATCTGTTTTTAGAAAAGGACAGTTTTGAGTACATCAGAGAGATTTGTATATGGTCTGTGTATTAGGTGATAGTGAGGAATTAATGTAATTTTTTATCAAGTGCAATAAGGACATTGCTGTAGAAAATAATCCACATATTTGGTCCATCTAAAGTAGGGGTGAAATGACAATATTTGGGATTTGCAACCATGGAAAGCTAACAGATGAAGCAAGTTTGGCAAAATATTGGAAATATAGGTGACTATATACAGGGTTCACTATGTGATCTTTTCCATCTATGATAATTAAAAACTTACCTATTGATTTCTTAAGTGTTGTACCTGGCCTCCTGAGCCCACGGTTGAGTTGTACCCACAGTCCAGTGTGGTTATCCTGCCATAGTCTCCAGACCACAGACACTTTAGTTCCCCTTGGGAAAGCATGTTGCCACTAGCCCAGAGCCAGAAAAGCTGAATATCATCCTGAAGTTGCTTTTCTAAAAGCTGCATTCAGCATATCCTGAGCTATTGATTCTGAAGTGTTGGAACAAAATGCTGCCCTAGATAGAGGTGACTCACCAGCTCCCTAGAGGATGGAGAGATGGCTTTAAAAACAAAAACCCTTTCCCCCTTATTTTGTAGGACCACCGTAAGGCCTCAGACCTTCTATGATGGAAGTCATTCCTGTGCCAGAGGAGTGTGCCATATTCCCATGGCTGAACCATTCTGCCCCAAAACGAGAGAGGTGCGTAGTCTTGTGCAAGGGTTCCCAGAGTGAGTCATAAGGGCTTGGGGTGGCACCTGGAGTTAGATTAATTGGCTAAGCACATGGCCCCTCTTGCCCTCGCAAGTTTGCTTCTTATGCAGGGCTTTATGAAGAGTCATTCCCTTTGCTCATAATGCCTCCACTACTCTTAATCATTTGTAAGCTGAATCACTCAAAGTTGCAACCTACCTACTTTTTTTTTTTAATAAGTTTTGTTGTCAGGATACTGAATACCTTTTAAATAATTCAGTATAGGATGGCATTTTAAACTCTGCTCTACAGCTTAATAGTTGTGTGTTGTGGACAAGTTACTTAATACCTGGGCTTCAGTTGACTCATTCGTAACTGAAGCTAATGGTAACACATATCATTCCCCCAGGACTTGTGAGGGATAAAAGTTATTCCTTATAAAGTGCTTTGAACAGTACTTATCAGTCATGAATTTTCCAGTGACTGGTAACTGCTGCTTTTGTGAATGAAATTAGTGATAATCTGTGCATTGTTGGAAGGGCACCATTCGCTCTTGAGCTGATGGCCGTTGCTTTTGGCCATTGCTATCCAGTCTCCTCTACAGGATTATAGTAAATGCATAGAACTAAAGGGGCAGTCCTGCAGAGGCCAGTGATCATTAGGTGAGGAACTGTAGCTATAGCTTTTGGAGAATAAACATGGCTCCCACAATTCCAAAGTATATCACTTGGTCCACATTAACGTACTTTTCTTCTTATCTGGGATCAAAAGTCAAGTGCAACTCAGCAGATCAGAAGTATTGTCAGAGGCAAACTGCCTGGTAAAATCCACTTATAAATTAACTGAGAGAATATAAATACCTAAGCATTATTAGTCATTCAGATTGTGATATTTGCCTATGGAAAGTAGAAGATCTGTTCTAGCTTTTATGTTCAGCCCTGCATAATGATATAAAACTAGTTTCCTTATTAACAGCAAGGACACAACCTCACTCTGGTCTCAAACATAAATCTGGAATCCAAAGCCAGGGAATGGGGGAAGTCATTTTAAATCCACCATTGTGTGTTGATTCTCTTTGACTTCTGTGAAAGTACATTTTTTACTTTTTTTAAAAAAAAAGGTTAAGTTGGCATTTATGGATTTAAATGTATATGTTTCTGGGTAGTTAACAACAGAATATATCAGGAGGCTGCGAGCTTTACCTCTGAAACATGGGTCTGTCCACATAATAGATTTGCTCTCCAGGGAAAATTACATGTGTATGAAATTCTTGTCTACTTCAAAATGGGGACAGCTTGGGAAGAAACAAGACTAGGGAGAGAAAGTGCACAGAAGATTTACTAGAAGTAGAGCTTGGAAGGGGGTGTGCTAATGATTGATGCAGCACATGTAAATGTGGTGGCTGGGTGATAGTTTCCAGTAATACAATTTGGCCTCCCATGAGACCAAATTAATTCAGCTATTACTAGTCTAGCCTACCTAATGACTAAAAAACTGCTGGGAAGGCAGTTTTAGAAACTAGGAACAATAAGCCTTCAAAATATTACTTTATTCTTATATATTCTTAAAGAGATTTTTGAATACTCTCCAGAAATGTAAAAAATAAATGGTGCTACCCTTTGTAATCATCATATAACTTTCAACATTCACATGATCTTTCATGAACTGGTGAGGAAGAATTGTCTAGATGAATTGTCAAGTGGGAAGCAAGGTGCACAGCAGTTTTATATGTCCTGCCAGTTGTGTTAAAATATGTATATATATAAAAAGGTAAGTATGAAAATATTTACACACTAATAGATTATTTCTGGAAAGTTGACCAGAACACTTGAACAGTGGTTTCCTGTGTGAGGTGAACTGGGTTTCTGGACATGGGTGGGAGAAATGGCTTGTTGCAGAACAGCATCCTTTTGTACCATGTCACTTCTGCTCCAAAAATAGTATCCCTTCCAGTCATTTTTGAAGGCAGTCTGAAACAAACTCTTTGAAAGTGTTCGAATATGTTTAGCCTGGTGACCTGACATTGTTAAGATGTTTGTGAGGATGATGGTAGACTCAGGAGCTCCATTTTCATTATTCAGGTCAATGAGTAATGAAATGAAAGCATCTTAGCCTCAGACCCAGAGGTCTCCCAACCTGTGGTTTGTATTTCTGTTATCTTACGATGACATTGTCTGTTCTTGTGGGGGTACAAAGTGCTGGTTCAGGTGGCAGATGAAGTCCCAGGGTCTGTCACTGAGTGGTCCATGTCCGTAACTCTCCACCTCCTTCTCACCATCATGGCGCCGACCTCCCAGGGTGACGTGCTGTAGGTCAGTGGTGCGTGGTCATTGTGAGCTGCTTTCGCACCTCCCCTGAAGAACTCTGAAGTTTGGCTGAGACGTGCATCTCAGTTATTCAGGATTCTGACATAAAATCAAAGTAGAACTGTGCTGGTCGTATCTTAATTTTGAAAAAAAATTAAAGGGTAGGGTGCAGGGGAGGAAGAAGTGATTTAAGTTCTTGGATTTATGAACTCTACTCATTAGGGAGAGTTTTAATTAAATGTAATCTTATTTTCAGCATATATAGGATAAACAAACATGATATAGCATCAACTATTCACTGTCTGTGACTTGTCATTGTTCTGAACTTAGAGTTGACGAGGCTCTTATTCAAATTCTTTCTCCTGTTGCCATAACATAATATTAGTTATTTTTAAGGAAATAGATTAATTTGCTATTGTAGTTCAGACGTGTGCAAATAAGATTTTGGCCTGGATTGAAGCCTTCTGTTGACTTTGAGTCACTCCATCTCACTTAGTATCACAGGAACCTTTGCCAATGATCTGACAAACGTGTACAAGCTGCCAGTGTTAGTAACCATTAGAAGGCCAGTTTGGCATTTCTGTCGTGTTTACAATGTGCCCGACACGATTCTGTGCTGTATATTCCTTAGCTCATTTATTCTTCACAATATCTCTGAGTTACATGTATTTAGTCCCATTTTACAGATGAGAAGACTAAGATATACACAGGTTAAGTGAATTGTTAGCAGTGCTTAAGTAGGTTAACAGCTAAGTTTAAAAGACAAAATATTTTTAATCAAAAAAGTATGTTGAAGTACAGACTAAGAAAAAAATGAAATTAATAACCTCAATATCAGATGTGCATTATTACTTAGACACTGGAAAAGGTGATCAGACTTTTAAATAACGTTTCTAAAACCCGTGTGTGGCCTTGCCACTGAAGGGATGCCACAGGAGTTCATTCCTGAACAGAAAAAAAAGGAGTCCCATTCTCCTTTTGTCCTAAGTCCTTGAAGAGCCAACAGGCAGAAATTATGAAGAAATCACTTTCTAACCAAAAAAAGCTTTTATAAAAGCCTTCAGGATTTGTATAAAAGTGCAGTGAAAATGAATGGCTCAGGAGCCTGGCCACAGCTGTGGGCACCTCTCTTTGAGGAGATGTGAATAAGGAGTAGCACTTTAGCTTGGCCTTGGACGTTAAGAGCTCAGAATCAAATCCGTATGCACAACCAAGCTTAGTCTCTTAAAGCTGTTAAGAAGTAAATGAGATTGAAACAAGTAAACAAATACCTGGTCTATGGAAAAGTTCACTGCTTGCTCTTGTAGCTGTGAGCTGTATGAGCAAGGGTCTGAGGGGGTGGGACTAGGAAACCCCCTTCTGTGGTCTCCCAGGTTCTCTGAGGGCCTGCAAGTAAGGCGTTTATAAACAAAGTAAAAATCTTTACGTGGTTAACCTGTTAAACACCAGGGGAAAAATAAAATATTAAGCTGTACTTATGTTTGTATGTTTTGAATTTGTGGTTCTTTCTTTTCTAGGTCCTCATAGAGACTGCTAAGAAGCTAGGACTCCGATGCCACTCAAAAGGGACAATGCTGACAATCGAGGGACCTCGTTTTAGCTCCCGGGCAGAAAGCTTAATGTTCCGCACCTGGGGGGCGGATGTTATCAACATGACCACAGTTCCAGAGGTGGTTCTTGCTAAGGAGGCTGGAATTTGCTATGGGAGTATCGCCATGGCAACAGATTATGATTGCTGGAAGGAGCATGAGGAAGCAGTAGGTGGAATTCTCTCCTGAACGGCCTGGGTTTCTGGTTGCCAGGAGAGCCATTAAGAGAGGGTCTTAACTAATTGTTTCTTTTGCATTAGTTCTAGAAAAGTGGCTTTCTACCAGGTTGTAAAGTCAGCATTGTCATCAGGTTTTACCAAATATTTTCTGTGGTTTCCACTGGGAGATAAGAACAAATATCTAAATAAGGAAGAAAAAGACACCTTTGACCAAGGATCAGTGTGAACAGTACACTGTAGGCATGTAGGTGTGTTGGGAGTCATACTGAGACTTGGGCCTTAATTTTAAGGATAAAGGTATCCTTTGTGTATAATCTGCTTAGACTGTGCTACTGTTTATTGCTTGTTTTCAAAGGGAAAAATCTACCAATGCTTACCTCTTCCTGGTTCATACCTGTCTGCTTAATCTGCCATGACTGGATACTGTGCTTGGTATAGGAACACCATAGCAAGCAGACAGATTTGTAAGGAGCCAGCATTCTGGTTTTGGGGAAGGATGGGGTAAAGGTCAGAAACCAGTGCGAGAAAGCTCAGGCTTATAAAGAAATACTATACAAGATACGAGGGTATGTGTCCAATTGACCTACCAAATATTCAGTCTGTGAAGCCTGCCTGGTATGCATGTGATGGGAAAGGCAGGCATGCTGGAGTGGGGGAGAGAAGGGAGAGAAAGGGATGCAGGCTCTGTAGGCCATGTGAGGATTTGATGGGGGTGCCAATAGTGGTTTTATTCAGGATGCCAGCAGGGTCCAGCCGGTATTTGAGGAAACTGGACCACTGAGGTCAGGCTTCTGGAACAGTTTTTATTGTGGAAAACCTTTGAATATCTGCAAGAGTAGAGAATCTAGTATAATAAACCCTCAGTTACCCACCACCAGTTTTCCACAATTATCAGCCATGGCCAATCCTGTGCCATATATATACACCTGCCCATTTCTCTCTCCCCTGTCTTCCTTATTTTTAAGTAAATATTCTTCCAAAAGCCTTCTTTTAAAATAACAATAATAATAATTATAGAAAACAACCGTAATATTGTACCAAAAAATATATCAATATTCATTCTTTAATACAATCAAATATCTAGACTGTGCACATTTTCCTTCTTGTCTCATAATTTTTAACTCTTCAAATCAGTGTCCCTCATAATCCACACATTGCATAGCAACAATAGGTCTCTCAAATCTCTTAATATTCTCTGCCCTCTCTTTTCACTCATTGCATTTTACTTGAAGAAACCAACATTTATCTTGTTGTTTATCTCATTTTAAATAGAGAAAGGGACAAAACTACAGTCAAGGAATTTTGAAGCAAGGAAGAAGTACAGGGGTGGCTGTTTGGAGTATGTTTAGGGGAGGTGACATCTTCTCCAGGGGACCCTTTGCACGATCCCAGAGCTGCTTATTCCACCATCCAGCTTCCTGGAGAACAGGATATTCTTGCTGTCTGTCCATCCACGTATGTGGAGTTTGGGTCATAGATGAACACAGGTTCTTTGTTTTGTGTAGATGCCTTATTCCTGGCTCTATGTAGTAAACTGTTGCAAACTACTAGGCTGCTCTTTCTAAGTGGTTGCAAATCCTGACACAGCATCAGCTCTGACTTGGCAGCTTAGGTCACCTGAGGAGCAGCTTAGACCTCATGGCGTTCAGCTGTTTCCAGATAATTGGAGACTCCAGCCTCTGCCCCTCTTGGAGAGCAGAAGACTACCTGCCTGTGGCTTTCTGCTCAGTCCAGGAACATTGGTCTCTCTTCTGCAGAGCAAAGGGTGCTTTCCTTTAGGAGGCTACATGAGGTTTGGAAAGCAGTCAGTAGGAATTACTTCAGTTAACGGCAGGGAAACAGCTCTGTGTAAGTGGAAAGGCATGAAGGAAGTGATATTCAATGCCACAGGGAAAGCATAGCAAGGATGGCATCATCTCATCCAGCCACGTGTGTCTTTGTGCTGTAAACCAGATGTGCAGCCTGGCATGCCAGGAACATTTTAGAATTGCCTAAATTCACTTTCAGATTCCTCTTGTTCCCTCTACTTACAACACTGGGCAAGTTATTTAACCTGTTTCTTCTCCCGTAGGATGGATCCAGGGGTGCAGGATGGGGGGTTGCTCAGTTACAGATCTGACCTTGCAGGATTACTGGGTGAATTAAGCCACATTATATATGTGAAGCAACTAATACAGTGTTGGCTCCTAAGAGGCTGGTCAGCAGATGGTAGTTACGATGGAGTTGGGGGTGCGGCCACAAAGTTTGAGAAGAAAACTTGAGGTTTGAGCTGGATGTTGCACAGAGGTTTAGAGTTTACTGTGAGGTGGTCAGTAGGAAGGGCATTTTGGGTGAAGCTCGACAGCAGGAACAAAGTAGAGAAAATAAAGGTGAGAGTCTGTATAGAAATATGATTCCCAGGAAGAGTGTAAGGGAAAGAGGAGAAGCACACCTTGTTTTAGTGCACTTTGCCTTATTGCACTCCACACATACTATGTTTTTTACAAACTGAAATTTGTCAGTGCCATTTTTCCAACAGCATTTGTTCACTTTGTATTTTTGTGTCACATTTTGGTAATTCTTCCAGTATTTCCAACTTCCTCCTTATTACTGTATTTGTTAACAGTGATCTGTGATGAGTGGTGTTACTGTTATAATTGTTCTGGGGCATCACAAACCACACCCATACAAAACAGTAAACTTCATGGATAAATGTGTGTGTTCTGACTGTTCCACCAACCAGCTGTTCACTCTCCGTCTCTTTCCCTCTCAGGCCTCCCTATTCCCTAACACACAATGATGTTGCAGGTAGGCCTGGTAAGCATTCCGCATGGCCTCCTAAGTGTTCAAGTGACAGGAGGAGTCACACATCTGTCACTTGAAATCAAAAGTTAGAAGCTTAGTGAGGAAGGCCTATGGAAAGCTAGGCATCTTGCACGAAATGGTTAGCTACATTGTGAAGGCAAAAGAAAAGTTCTTAAGGAAATTAAAGGTTCTATTCCAGTGTAAATGATAAGAAAACAAAAAAGCCTAAATGCTGATAGGGAAAAAGCTTTAGTGGTCTAACCAGCCACAACATTCCCTTAAGCCAGAGCCTAATCCAGAGCAAGGCCCTACCACTCTTCAATTCTGTGAAGTCTGAGAGAAGTAAAGAAGCTGCAAAAGAAAAGTTTGAAGCTAGCAGAGGCTGGTTCATGAGGCTTAAGGACAGAAGCTGTTGCCATAACATAATACAAGGTGAAGCGGCAAGTGCTGATGTAGAAGCTACAGGAAATTATCAGAAGACCAGCTAGGCTGATTAGTGAAGGTGGCTACAGTAAACAGATTTTTCAATGAAGACAAAAAGAGCCTTCTATTGGAAGAAGATGTAATCTAGGGCTTTCTAGCTAGAGAAGAGAATTAAGTGTCTGGCTTCAAGGCATCAAAGGGTATACTGATGCTCTTTGTTAGGGGCTATTATAGCTGGTGACTTTAAGTTAAAGCAAGTGTTCATTTACCATTACAAAAATCTTAGGATCCTTAAGAATTATAATTATGCAAAATCTACTCTGCCTGTGCTCTATAAGTGGGACAGCAAAGCCTGGATGACAGCACATCTGTTTATAACATAGCTCAACAAATATTTTAAGCCCACTGTTGAGTCCTTCTGCTCAGAAAAAAAGTATGCTTTCAAAATATTACTGATCATTGGCAATATACCTGGTTACCCAAGGGCTCTAACAGAGTTGCTCAATGAGGTTAATGTTTGTTTTCATGCCTACTAACACAGTATCTATTCTGCAATATATAAAGGCACAGTTTCAACTTTTAAGTCTTACCATTTAAAAAATGCTTTTCATATGGTTATTGCTGCCATACAGTGATTCCTCTGATAGATCTGAGCAAAGTCAATTGAAAACCTCTGGAAAGGAGTTACCATTCTAAATGCCATTAAGAATATTTGTGGTTCATGGCAGAGGTCAGCATATCATCATGAACAGGAGTTAGGAAGAAGCTGATTCAAACCTCATGGGTGACTTTGAGGGGTTCATGACTTGAGTGGATGAAGTAACTGCTGATGTGGTGGACGTGACAAGAGAAACCAGAAGTGAAGCCTGAAGATGTAACTGAATTGCTTGTAAATTTAATATCAAGATAAAATTTTTAACAGATGAGGAGTTACTTCTTATGGGTGAGCAAAGAAAGTAGTTTCTTGGGATGAAATTACTCCTGGTGAAGGTGCCGTGACGGTTGTTGAAATGGCAACAAAAGGATTTAGAAATTATGCAAACCTAGTTGATAAAGCAGCAGCAGGGTGTAAGATGATCGACTCCAGTTTTGGCAGAAGTTCTGTGCATAAGAAGCTATCAAAACAGCTTTGCTTGCTACAAAGAAATCATTCGTGAAAGGAAGACTCGAGTCAGTGTGGCTAACTTCATTGCTTTCTTAAAAGCAATTGAGACAGCCTCCCCACCCTTCAGTAACCACCACCTGGATCAGTCAGCGGCCATCAACATGGAGGCAGGGCCCTCCACCAGCAAAAAGATGATGATTATCTGAAAGCTTGGATGATGATTAGCATTTCTTAGCAATGAAGTATTTTTTAATTAAGGTGTGTACATTGCTTTTTTAGACATAATGCTATTACACAGTTAATAGACTACAGTATAGTGGAAACGTAACTTTTGTATGTACCAGGCAGCCAAAGAATTCATTTGACTCACTTTATTGTGATACTCACTTTATTGAAGTGGTCTGCAACCAGATATCTCCCAGGTATACTTGTAAATTTAAGGTAAATCTCTTATATGCTTCAGGACCCTGCATTCAGAGATTCTCTGAAACCATGCCTGTGCCTGTGTCTGGCAGGCACCAGCCAGTAGCTGCTCTGTGCCCCCACAGTAATGGGACCTCCCTCTGCCCTGGTGCTTGTCATTTTTTTCTAAGCACATCTTGATATTTGTGGGAGGAGCCTGAACTTTATACTCCAGGAAAAAGAAAAAAAGATGTAATTGTGTCCCTAAATCTTGGTTTCCTTCTTAATAGTGAAGCATGACAAGTACTCTACCTCTGACCATCTGTTTTACATTCACAACTTTTTTCAACTTGTTTGTGAAACAATTTCAGTAATATGCAAAAGTAGATAATAGTATGAGCTTCGATGAATCCAACATTCAGCTTTAACCATAAATATATCAACTTATATAGCCAATCATATTAAATCTGTACTTGGATTCATAGTTTTATCCATGAACATATCAGGAGACATATAACCACATTATCATTATCACATTCCAACAGTAATTCCTTAATATATTAAGCAAAGTTCTAGTTATCTCAAATATCATAAATGATTTTTTTTTCTTCCAAGTGTTCTAGAAAGAAACCAGGTCATTTTTCCTATAGAGTTTCCCATAGTCTGGGATTACTAGAATTATCTCCCTAGGGTATTTTAACAGATTTCTCTGTCCTCTGTATTTTCTGTAAATTGGCAGCTGGATCTAGATATTTGGTCAGATTCAGATGTCATGAGTAGTGCCTTGTATTCTCATCAGGAAGTTTATTAAAGTGGATTATTTGGTTTAGGCTTCTTTGTTATGTGATGTTAGCAGCCCATCCATTAACTCATTAGGAGCTGTAAAAATGGTGATACTTGGATTCCATCCTATTTATTAGCTGGAAGACTTCTCTAAAGAGAAATATACTTATGTTCCGATTAGTTATTGGGTATAGCTACAGTTTTACAACTAGACTCCATTCTACTATGGACATGGGGAGAAGAGCCGCATCCTTCTAGACCTAATACATTGTACATCTGAGATAGTAGTTTCTCAGGCACTATTTTGAAAACCAGTGGTGCTTTTCAGAGATGTCATTGGGTTTCTCTAGGACTTCTGCCTGGAACCACAACCATCTTGATAAAGGTGCAGCTTTCCCTCAGGGGATTTAAGGCAACTCACTTCACAGATCAGGTAGAGACTTAGGAAAGCATCTACAAAAGCAGTGGAATTTTAAATTGCTGGTAACATCCTGTGCTGTTGCTTCTCTAGGTTTCCGTGGACCGGGTCTTAAAGACCCTGAAAGAAAATGCCAATAAAGCCAAAAGTTTACTCCTCACTACCATACCTCAGATAGGGTCCATGGAATGGTCAGAAACCCTCCACAGCCTGAAGGTAAGTATCCTCAGCCATCTGCAGGGAGATACTTCCAAAGGCCCTTAGCTGCTGCCTCCTCTTCTTTGCCTTTCACCCCTCCACTAGCCTAGATGTTTTCTACCAGTTTTCATGCCATTTGCTATCATATTAACCATTTATGAAATCGAGTAGTCATTCCAACCATTGGAAGTAGAGGTGAGGAGAATTTTATTATCTAGTATGCTAGTTTCTTGACACTGCCCTGCTTTGAAGTATAGCCCTAAATCTTACTGCAGAAGATAGATTTTGTTTGCGCACATGGCTTACCTTGCTGACAAAGCAATGTTAAAATGGGGCCAGGAAATGGCTCTTTATGGTTAATATTATATCAAACTGAGGGTAATTAATGATAAACATGGAATGGGTTGCAAATTGGTAACTTTTAGACTCTAGTATTAATTCCCAGAATATAATTTAAACTGACTGCTAAGCTCAGAGATGCATGATTTTTACTTGGACATTTTGATTCTTGATTAGCTACATTGGATAAGGAGTTGCCTCAAATCGATCAGATACTACATTCACCTAGTATCCAGAGAGAGTAGCCAGCACACCCTAAGGCCTCCTAGAACACACCTATACTAGTGGGTCTTGGGACAAGTAATTGAGAGAGGATTATGAGAAATTGAATTAAGCCATAAAAAAGAAAGGAATCCTGCCATTTGTGACAACATGGATGGACCTAGAGGATATTAAGCTAAGTGAAAGAAGTCAGGAGGAGAAAGACAAATACCATATGATTTCACTTACTTGTGAAACCTAAAAACAAAACAAAATGAGCTAAGCGGCACTAGGCTCACAGACAGAGGAGGGACTGGGGTGATGGTGGGGCCTGGTGGGGGGCTGGGGAGGGCAATAAAGGAGCACAGAAATCTCAGTCAATATAAGTTGGTCACAGGGATGGAAGTGCAGCATGGAGAACATGGCCAGCGGTTCTGTAACTATGCTGACAGTAACTTCACTAGTGGGGGTAAGGATTTAATAAATGTGGGCAACTGTTGAACCGCTGTGTTGTGTACTTGAAACCAATGTAATGTTGTGTATCAACTTCAATGTAACAAGAAAGGAGGGAAGGAAAGTTGATAAAAGCCCTCCCTACATGAACTACCACAAGGGAGCCCTGGAATTAGAGCCAGATTTTTGATGAGGACACCATAGGGTAGTGAAGGATGGTCAGCCGCTGAGCATGGAGGAACCTTGATTTATAGTGTTTGCCAATTTACATGGTATTAGTGCTTCAGCACAGCCGATTTCAAGTTGCCAACAAGAAGTCACTGGTAACCCAGGGAGTGATACACAGTCGGGTTGTGCAAGCCAGTCCAAGCCGCCTCTGGTACATGCTGTACTGAGGTGTCAGTCAGCCTTTAGGACGGGCCAAGTCAGGAATACTGGAGTTTGTAACAGTCTGCCTGCTAGACTTTAGGTCCCTAAGGAGCCGGAAACATCTGTTGATTTCAACCCGTGTACCTAGGAGATAAATTTTCTTTAATGAGTAAGTGACAGCCCATTTCCCCCGTGAAATGTTTCATTATAATTGAAATATAGGCAACCCTTTTAATTATGAATAAAAGGGAAACAAAATAGATTCCAAGAATTGGGGAGTGACAGTTTAATCTAGCAACGGTCACATCAGCTGCGTGTAATGCAGCAGGACTTCAGCTTTGTCTAAACGGGCACTCTGTTGATTTGTGGGAAATATGACTCAGAATTTGCTGTTGCTGAGGTCAATGTTACCTGCAAGATGTGATGGGGTGGTTTTTTTCTTGTAGGTTTTCCAAATGACCCCATTTTAATCACAATCTCTTGAACTTTGAAGATAATTTTTCAAGCAATAACATTATTTCAGCTTAATTTTTAAGTAAAATGGTTGGATGGTATAAATTTTTCCCCTGTGAAGCTTTGAAAAGTATGTGTAAGATTGTGTGTGTCTATGTGTGCATTTTAAAACAGGATTGAAATGTGTAACTTTAATCAGATTCTCAAAGTATATGACCTAAAGAGAGGAAATGCAGAATTGCTGCTCCAGACGAAACTGAGGCTTGTGGCCTGCTGCCTAAAGCATGAAGGAACACTGCTAATAATCCCTTTTTCTGGGATAGTATTTGCAGTCCTCTGAGCACTGAAATGTGTGTATCATTGACTAATTCATTTCAGAAACACTTAGTGCGTGCCTCCTCTATGTTATGGTGTGGCTTACAAACACAGGAGTTGGTGTGATGAAGATGCTCTTCTGTTTGGCAGTACTAACGTATCAGAAAGTTCAGTGATCTTTTTCAGTGGGGTAAGGTGAATGATGGAGGTTGCATAAACAGTAATGCAGGCTGGGGGTTGGTGAGTGAAATGTGTCTTAGTAGAATGAGATACATGAGAATCAGAACAATCCTCTGAGATAAGCATTCTGAACCTCACCTTACAGGAAAGGAGGCAGGGAAACTAAGAGTTAGGAGCTACCCTGGAAGTCCCACTTCTGGTTAGTGGTCACAGGGATGAACATGTCTGGGTGAACTGGGTGAACATGAGAATTTTCTATAGAGTTTATTAAAAGTGTATATGCCATGGGTTCTCATTCTATAAAATGCACGCTACCTCTAATATATACTGTATTCTTAACAAGCATGCTAGGTGATTATTGTGCTCACACAAGCATGAAAACCCCCACCCGCAGTAAGTTCTTGGTTAATTGTAATTTCTGCCTGTTTTCTTCCTTTCAGAATATGGCCCAGTTTTCTGTTTTATTACCAAGACATTAAAATAGAAGAAAAGACATTCTGATTTCAGTCATTTTGGGAATTCCTATAGCTTGCAAAAACATGGAAAAGACATGGAGCTTTCATGCCCTTGCCCCCTGTGGAAGAACATGGTAAGACAAGACATTGCATAAAACAGAGATGCCTTTTAAACGACATGGTCTGCTTCAAAACAGAAGGAAAGCAAATGACCAGTAACATGTAGAAAAATTCTCAAACTTTATAAAAAAGATAAGACACCATCTACCCTTCACCCATTAAATTTGTAACAATAAAAGGTGCCATCCAGTTTCCTGTGTTGCCAAAGAATATGAAGAAGAAATGGACTCTTAGACTATTGGTGTGACTAAATTGGTACAATCATTTTGAAGGGCAGTTTGGTAAAATGTATCAAAGGCTTAAACATACTAAACACCCTTTGTGCCAGTTCTGCTCCTAGGAATTTATCTTTAAAACATTGTCAGAGAAAAAAGAGTATGCATAAAGAAGGATGTATAATACAGTGTTAAAGTAGCATATATTCAGAACAATCTGAGTGTCCAACAATTGGAGGTAAATTATGGTTTAGCTCTAATTAGATTGCAAGGCAACCAACTAAGGATCATGTTTTCACATAATTTTTAATGTCCTTAAGAAATGGTTGCTCTATAATAAATGAAAAAAGATATATAAGCATTTTACAATAATTTTGCTTTAAAAATCTACATGTATGTGAAAAGACTAGAAAGATAAATATTCTTTTGTTGTATTGGGGGGAATCTGGATACTTTTAATTTTCTTTGTTTCTCTGTATCTTCACATTTTTCTACAATGCATATCAACAGGCTGTTTTAAAAATTATTAAAGGACTTAATCCAGTTCTTGAAAACACACTATTTCTAGTAATGAATCTAATGAATCAAAAAGTTCTGTTTCATGAGGATCATTAACGACTGTACAGTCAGAATGATACTTGGGTTTGCAACAACTTAAGAAAGCTAGGTGTTTAATACTGAGATAATCAAATTATTGAGAATATATACACACATAGTCTCAGATATTTTTTAAATTAATACTTTATTTCTACACCTTTCATATGAGTTGAGTTATTTTACATGAGTTGGTGATTTTTGTGTTTTAATAAAGAAAATGGAAGCTTCATACTCTGTTATTCATTTTATAGGAATGTTTTGTTTTCTATCAGATCTTTTTCAGAATTACTATGTTTTCACAGTGGTCTATCACTGGGTCCTTTAGTGATGTATCTTGTCTAAAGAAACTGTAAAGTTACTATGTTTGTGTCTCAGAGATTAAGCTAATTTTAAACAGTAAGGTAAACCAGTTACCTTGCAGCATTAATATTAAGCTGTTTTGGTTACATGTCATTGTGCCTCTTAGATTCTCTGATGCAGTAGTTTCAACTCCGGTTGCACTTTGGAGATCCACAGAGGACCTAACAGATCTAAATCCATGATTGTTTACATCACCCTGTGCTACATACTACACCTTGCTTTGATTCATTCTGTGTAGATGTCTGAGGATGTCAAGGCAAATCATGGGCATTCTTGCTGCCTTCAGAAAATACAGTTCTCCCCAACTTGTTGAGGTATTTTTCCTATTCCACCAGCTTTTCCTAGCAACCTCACTTTCAGACTTCAAAAATGGACTATACTCCTGTATTCTTTGTTACCCATCATTCATTCCTTATACAATGACAATATAATTCTCATACCTTATTCTTGAGTGCTCTGCTGACAATTTATTCCTAAAAGGCTCTCATGTCTACTATACTTAAGTATTTTTAAGCTAAATAGTAAGTGAACACCATAGTCAGTTTTGAGCGTTTCAGAATTTCCTCACTGGTTTATGGGAATAATGGAAAAGTTCTAGTTTAGTGACCGCCCCTTGGGAGAGGGCTGAGTTACTGATTACTGCATTTACATCTACTCAGAAATCCTTACTAGCATCATGAGCTGCTTATTTTTGTTACGCATTGTTTTTCATGATTTTGTAGACGAGACAACCAGAATAGTCATATGCAGAGCGTTAACCAAAAAAGACTAGAGAAGGCTGGAATAGCAGGGTCTTATTTGAGACCTGAGAACATTTTGCAGATTAGCCTTGGTGCATCCTGGAAATGTTTATAATAGGCAAAAGCTTAGGAATGGCTGAAATTCTCAGTGGTTTGGGGATGTCTAAATGAGGTGCATGAATTCACATAATGCGTATCTTTATCCACCAGTATGGAATGATACTTGTGATAAAAAGTGGAAACCAGAAAAATGTAAAGTGGTTTGTGTGGGTGTGTTTATGCCTTAGGTTCATATTTCATAGAAAGTTTCTGGTAAGAAACTTAGTGATAACCTGTAAGGTAGGAAGAGACCTTTTTACTTCATACCCTTTTATACTGTTTGAACTTGTTAACATAAGCATCTACTCTTAACTTATACATTTTAAGGGTGGAGACTAGAGGAGACCTGACTTTGTAGTAGTTCATGTAAAGTGAGATATAATAATCTCTTTCTTAACTTGACATTGAATTGTTAGGTCATGTCTGGGTGGTGTATCCAGTTCTAGGAACACTTTTTCAGGGGAACACCGACCATCTAAAAAGCAGCAATGGAAGAGTGCAAGGACTGGGAAGACCGTGTTCACCTAAGTAATGGTTAAGGAAATTGAGTATGTCTACCCATACAGGAGGAGACCTTGAGTGAGAATGTCAAGTATCTAAAGGGCTGCCATTTGGTCACGGACTTACCTCTCCCTTGTTACTCCATAAGCCTTCGTAAAAGCAGGAATCATGTGTTTTCCACTCACCAGTATGGGATCTTCTGCTCCTTGTACTTAGCACAAGTTCAACAAATAACTTGGGTAAATGAAAATCTGGTATCTTCCCTATGTAAAAACCCACCAGCTCTGCAACTCCTCTTGCATCTTCACTTTCAGCAGGTGACAATGGTTCCATCTTCACTGACAAAATTGAAGCATCAGCAGAGAACTTCCAAGGACATCCTCTCCCATCACCTCCTGCAAACTGTTTTCTCTATTGCTGTTTATGACATATGCATCAGTATCACCTAGAGGGCTTATTAAAACATTGCATGGCTCCACCTCAGTTTTCTTTTTCTTTCTTTTTTAGAAGTCATCAGTGTGGAGCATCTTAATCTGAAGTTCACGGCTATCTTGAAATTGTGTACACATTTCTGTACTGGTCCTGCTTTCTCTGTCTGTGTATCTTGCAGCCTCTGGAGCTTGTTGATTGCTCCTCCCAACATAATCCATTCCACTGGTGGATAGAGGGAGTTCTTAGAAAATCTCTTTTTTTTAAGTTTTGAAGTGAAGTTAATCTTTGTAACTTTGACTCACTTCTTCTCTGGTGGTCTGGAAAAACTAGGGAGCCATCTAACCTCTTCTATATAACACGATTCTAATATATGATGGCAGCCTATCTGTTCTCCCAAGATATCTTTTGCCTGAACATCATTCGTTTTTTTTCCTGTTTTATTGAGAGATAATTGACATACAACATCAAGATGTACACATAATCACATGGTATATGTATAGATTGCAAATTAATCACAATAAGTTTAGTTAACATCACCTCATATACAGAAAAAAAATTTCCTTGTGATAAGAACTTTTAGGATATGCTCTTATCATATTTCAAATGCAGCATTGTTAACTATAGTCATCATGTACATAACATCAGCAGTACTTACTTGTCTTATAGCTAGAAGTTGGTATATTTGACCCTTCACCCAGTTCCTCTACCCTCCACTCCCTGCATCTGGCAATCACACATCTGATGTCTGTTGCTATGAGTTTAGTTTCTTGTTTTGGGATGGGGTGTTTTGGGTTCTGTATTTTTTAGATTCCACATATAAGTGAGATCATATAGTATTTATGTTTGTCTGATTTACTTCACTTAGCATAATAGCTCAAGGTCCATCCCTGTTTTTGCAAATGGTAGGATTTTCTTCATTTTTTATGGCTGAAAAGTATTCCATTGTATATATGTTTAATATAATATCACATGTATATATAACATTTCCTTTAACCATCTTTCAATGGTCACTTAGGTTGTTTACATGTCTTGGCTACTGTGAATACTACTTCAGTGAATATGAGGGTATATGACTTTGACTTAGTGATATCATTTCCTTTGGGTATATACCCAGCATGGTAGGTCTGTTTTTAAGTTTTTGAGGTGCCTCCATACTGTTTTCCATAGTGGCTGCACCAATTTACATTCCAGCTATCAGTACACAAGGGTTCCCTTTTCTCCACATCTTTGTCAGCATTTGTTATGTCTTGTATTTTTGATGATAGCCATTCTAACAGGTATGAAGTGGTAAATCATTGTAGCTTTGACTTTCCTTTCTGTAATGATTAATGATGTTAGCCATCTTTTCATGTACCTGTTGCCCATTTGAATATCTTCTTTAGAAAAGTATCTGTCCAGGTCCTTTGCCAATTTTTTATTTGGATTACAGTTGACCCTTGAACGATGCAGGGGTACTGACCGCCCGTGTGGTCGAAAATCCACGTGTAACTTTTGACTCCCTACAAACTTAATTACTAATAGTCAACTGTTGATAGAAGCCTTACTGATAATATAAGCAGATGGTTAGCACATATTCTGTATGTGATATGTATTATATACAGTATTCTTACAATAAGGTAATCTAGAGAAAAATCTCTTTTCAAACTGTTACAAATCCCCAAAATATTTTCCAATAAATTTATTGAGAAAAAGACGGGTATAAGTGGACCCATTCAGTTCAAACCCATGTTGTTCAAGGGTCACCTGTTTTTTTTTTTTTTTTTGGCTATTGAGTGATAGGAGTTTTTATGTATTTTATATATTAATCCCTTATCAGATACATGATTTGCAAATATTTTCTCCCATTCCATAGACTGCCTTTTCATTTTGTTGATCATTCCTTCTGCTATATGGAAGCTTTTAAGTTTGATGTTGTCCCATATGTTTTTTTGTTGCTTGTGCTTTAAGAGGTGTCATATCCAAAAGTCATTGCCAAGACCTATGTTAAGAACCTTTCTCCCTGTTTTCTTCTAGGAGTTTTATGGTTTGAAGTCTTACATTTAAGTCTTTAATCCATTTCTAGTTAATTTTTTTTGAGTAGTGTAGGTGCAAGGTAGGTTTTCAGAGTTCCAATTCAGGAGGTCTGCAATTGGGCCTGATAATTTACATTTCCAGTAAGTAACAGGTGATGCTGGCACCACACTTCAAAAGCTATCATAGATGTTTCTTCCTGCTCACCCATCTTTCACATTGGATCCCAAATAATATAACTCTCACCTGGTCACAAATAACATACTAGGAGTTGCCCTCTCTCCATAGTCAAATTTTCTCTCATTATTGGATCATTTCTCTCCATGCACAAATATGCTGTTATTTCTCCCATTTAAAAATATCCCATGACTACAATTCTGTGCTGTCTCCAATTCCTCTTTATGCTTTCTTCAGCCCACTCCAATTCAGACTTTTTTGCCAATACCCCACTTCCAACACCGTCAGCATCATTCTCAAGGTCACCTCTTTACTAAATCTAGTCAATTCTTACTTCATCCTTTTTCCATCAGCGGCATTTAAAACATTTCATCCTTCCCTCCTCTTTGATAAACTTTGTTCATGTGGCTTCCAAGAACACTACGCACAATTTTCCTTCTACTCAACAGTTGCTACTCATTCTCCTTTGCTGGTGCCTCCTCCTCTCCCTGCACTTTTAACATGACCTGCCACCAGGGCTCAATCCTCAGACTCTCTCTTCATTCTCTCTTCCATTTCTCATCTTCCCTCCAGATCTGCCCTTCCATCCCTTTCCTGTCTCGGTTGTTGGCAGTTCATCCTTCCAGTTCCTCAGACCAAAAACACAGAGTTGTCCTTGACTCTTCAAAACCCACATTCACATCAGGAAAATTTTGTTCACTTTACTGTGAAACTACATCCAGAAACACTATTCCTCTCAACAGCTACTACCTCTACCCTGGTCTGTGCTGCTCTCATCTCTCACCTGGATACTACAATAAATCTAACTGGTCTTCCTGCATCTACTCTTACCTTACAGCAACCCAGGAGCCAGAACAATCCTTGTAAAGCATGTCATTCCTCTGCTCAAAACTTCATTTCACCCAGATTA